TGCAGCCAAGCCACAAAGCGCTGAGCGGCCGTCCTCGGCCATCCATCTCCAAGCATAGCAGACGCCGCAACGAGCAACCTGCGGTTGGCAGCCACAATCAACAGCCGGCGCTTTTGCGCTCTCAGTTCCTACGTGTTGCAGAAGACGAAGATTTCCAAGATTACCAAGATCAACACCAAGATCCGGAAGAACAGCAGGACGCAGCAGTGGCTGCACCGGCGACCCCGCCATTTCCACCTCCGCATCATTCTGATCCGGATTCATCGACTGAGATTATGGCAGCAATAACGCAGTTTCACAATTCGTTGCTTGAATCGAATGCCAAACTCGAGCGCCTGATACAACAGGCTACAACCGTGTTGACCACTCAACACGAGGCTACCACGGCGATCCTCGCCTCGTGCAAACAGCAGCTCGACGTACTCGAAAGCCTCATCAGGCAAAACGCGCCTGATTGGTCGTGAATATGCTGCTAAGGTACGCTGGTATAAAAAGAGCCAGGTAGTGCACACTTCTCGCATTTCAACACATGTTGCTTTCAGACACACACCATAATTTTGCCTTCTGAAGTTTTTGCCTCAGAGTGACACCTATCGGAATCCCGACACCGAGCCATGAGCGAAGCATCTCTTCCGACAAACACAGTGACTACAGATTCGCCACCCGTCGATGAGTCACGACGTGAAGCTCTCTCCGAGGCCCTCATGGAGATTTTGACACAGCATCGGGACTATGATTCCGAAACTGGAAGTGAACCTTCCACATTCAGTGACGAGGCTCTACGCGACCAATTAGCCGAGGTTATTCTGCAAACAACCCGGCAGATCACAGAGCTAAAGCAACGAGTGGAAAGACTCGAAGCTTCGCAACAATAGGTGATCAACCATGTTCATACCACCATTGGGTGCTTTGCAGCGGACGGTTAAAACAACGATTGTCGTTGTTGCCAATTGTGACGGTCAGTGCACTCACTTCACATATGTTTGGTATGCAGCGATTGATGCACTCTTTCCCGCAGCATTTTGCAAAACAACCAGTTGTGTTAGCACCATGGAACAACGCACCAGATCGCGATCTCCCACGGCATCACAATGGAGATGGCATTGGGCCACTAACGGCTCTTCATGGTGGCGGGAGGACTTTATCGCATCTCAAGAGTGGATACGAAAGCATGCGGAGCAACCTGATCAGCGTCCGACATCAACGCCTCCGACCCAAAAGGAGACAGTATCTACTACATCAACTCCTACCTCCAACAAGAGAAAGCGGTCAAGAACTCCGTGAGCAACATTGCTGAGTTGACAATTAGATGCACATTTGCTGCCCCCGGCAGCCAACAACCACACAGCAAAGCTGTGCTGCGAACTCCATCATTCCTGATGAGGTTCAACATTAAGAGCATCATGTTGAAAGGTCATGCCGGTCGGCGAGGTTGCTCAATTGATGTCTGTGTACCTCTCTCTCTCTCTCTCTCTCTCTTCTGAAGATCAGCGTATGCACATGCCTCAATGCAGTTGTGACTCCGCAGCCATTTCTCAGAACTACAGTTGCTGAAACATATTTAGGATCGCACACAGATGGACGAGGATGACGACAGCAGCCTATGGGGATCCGAAGAGATTGATGCCTTCCTGAGGAAGGATGACACCACCACATCCTCCCATGCAGTCAGTCACACACACAATCAAAAAACAAAGCACACAACGAGGACAAAAAAGAAGAAAGACAACAAAGACAAAAAGGACAAAACAGTCATGAAAACAAAGAAAACACGCAACATCTCACCACCATCCCAATCCACAACACAGCAACGACACCAACATCCACATACTACAAGACGAAAGAGGACACGCTCTTCGCATTCAACATCATCAGCGTCACCTACGGCAACGTCACACATGGCTGAGGACGCACACCGGTCTCCATCTCGAGATACTTGGTCTTCTGACTCGATTGCACCTTACGATATTGTGCATCCTACTATTCAGCACAAGCGGTCCAAAACCGCTTGTGCAAAAATGCTGGTACGTGCAGGATTTAGGTGTCGATGCCATTTCAAGATCATGAGTGACTGTCCCAACAAACTCGCTGTTGGACCCTAATTCTCAGGACGGATTAGGGCTGCAAGATCCGCTAAGCGTGACAAAAAAGCCTGCGCATGCGAGTGTCAGGACGACACCACTTTGTTGTTTTGCCAGAGCACACATCATGTCCATGTTGATTTGCATTCCTTGTTCAAGCTTTTGTCGGTTGGTAGCAGCAAAAATATGACAAAGCGAAAGGCTGCCGAGGCCGGCCTTCCATGGTACTCCATGGCAGGACAATGTTTTCGGATGACTGTTGAAATTCCACCTGACCGCATCACCAGAGACAAGCACATGTTCTTACACGTGGTGCTTTGTCTGGGTGACAACGTTCTCCAAGCTCGCAAGATCTTCTCCTACCGCATCAAGGAGATCACCGGCAGAACTCCTAAAATCCCAGCTTTCTTCTTCGAACAAAACCGTCGACGAATACATGATTGGGATTCAGTCACCACATTAGCCACGTTGATGCCGGTGCTTTTTGTTAGAACCTGTTCGGATCAGGAAATACGACAATCCCCCGATCGCTATTGACAGCGAGAAAAGTGCGCCATTCACTCCTATTGCCGCGCATCAGACCTTTCACTCTACTTGAAGCATGTACGCCCCATTGGGGCTGTGTGTGTGAACCTCCCTAGCACATGGGAGCAGAGGGTCACTCCTACACTGTTTGCAATTTCGCTTTTCAACATAATCCGGCATTGGACATTTACCAAATCAACTGTTGCAGGGGAGTGTGGCACTTGCGTCCTACCACATTCAACGAAGCTGTGGATGCAAGTGGGAAGCGGGACCTGATCAGTCCTGTGTACCTGCATGGCAGCCCCCTGTGGTGCCAAGATTAGTTTTGAGGACAGCCCCCCTGTGGTGTCCAGATTAGACAAACAAGTTGTACGGTTGCCACAATCTGACAAAACTTTGCAACATGAACAACATGCCTCTCTCTTTTCCTCTTGCACTCGTACTCTTGGCCGAATCCATCAGTGTGTGTGTGTGTGTGTGTGTGTGTGTGTGTGTGTGTGTGTGTGTGTGTGTGTGTGTGTGTGTGTGTGTGTGTGTGTGTGTGTGTGTGTGTGTGTGTGTGTGTGTGTGTGTGTGTGTGTGTGTGTGTGTGTGTGTGTGTGGTTGTGTGTGTGTGTGTGTGTGTGTGTGTGTGTGTGTGTGTGTGTGTGTGTGTGTGTGTGTGTGTGTGTGTGTGTGTGTGTGTGTGTGTGTGTGTGTGTGTGTGTGTGCAAGCATGTGGGCATGCAATCTCAAAAGTTGGCAGGTGTCTTCCAGTCCGTGTTGTTAATGTGCTCGAAAACGAGGCAGGGTGTTTTTGTCAGCGGGTCGCGGACGATGTCCAGCAATGCCACAATGTTGGGTCCCTTGCTGACCTGCCAAGCGGCCATGCTCTAACTTGGGGGGCTTGGAGCCCGGCACCTAAGCCTATAATTCACGTCAATACATCCTGCACGAAGACACAGTCTGGGAATTTGCGGCAGAATCTTATCCCCACAAGCGCGTCGAAGGTTCGTTTTGAAGAATCTTGATTTCACGCCTTGGCTATCACGGATACGTCCGCTTCATGGACCAAATCAGCATGATTCAGCACTCCTGGCATGGCTGGTGCCCCGGCTGACGTTCTGGGAATTGATTGCATGAATGTTCGTCGATCACAGGTGAAAAGAAATAGAACGTCGAGTGTCTTGATCTTCTTCTTTTTCACTGGCTTCAGGATCTTGATCACCTGAAAGCGCTCAGCCTTCTGGCGCGTGGCTAGGGCTACGGCGGTGCCCGAGCCAAAAAGAAACTGAGCACGGCTGCGCATTTCTTGTTCGTGGGCACATGGTAGCCGGTGAAAACTTCACCTCGTCTCTCAGAGCACACAAGTCTCCCCGACGACAAGAAGAATGCTGTCAGCTGCCCGATTGTCGAAAGCTCAGGCTGGTGCTGTACTTTCCCCGCCCGATCTTCTGTGTAACCTCGTAGTGCTCCAGATTTCCCCATTTGACCTCCGGCTCCAGAGCTGCAACTCACCACAGGAGAAGCCGACAAGAGATGAAAGCAGCCACGAAGTCCAGAAGAGGAAGACAAAATTGCAGATTGCCGTTTCTCGCTACCGTCAACCATTGCTTCAGAGGACTAGGAGCACGTGACTACACTTAGAACCAGTCCAAGCGACTATCATCTTCTCGTAGTCCCAATACTCCTTTGGCTTCTTGGAAAGGACATCCTTAGAAATAAGAGGGTAGAGCAGATGTACTGCGCCTGCAAGGCCTGTTGCCAAGGAGCTTTGTACAGCCGAGGGAGCCGTTCCCTTGAAGCCACAGACCAGAAACATCACAAACCAAGAGATTGCAGAACGGTCACCTACACAACCAAACCGTGCCTCTTAAGGGCACGCGCAGTCATCACGTGCTTGACCGGAGACGGCTGCAGGCATCCGCTCGTTGCGCCAGCCCAGGCACAGCTCATTGCGAGTGCCGGAACCGGCTCTTTTCGCGATGGGCACTGATCTGCATCTCAGCTCAGGCCTTTGAAGGCCCTTCTGCGATGCACTGCCGTTCCCCTGACGGTGCGCGGTTTGGAGGAAGCCAAACCGCAAAGCGTAATTGCAGTCGTCCGAAGACGTCCAAGCGGAGTGATGCATGACAACAGCGGATGGGATGTAGCAGCAAGGCATCACTCAAGAGGCCGACACCCAGGAGAAGGCATCATCCGCATCACCCCATTTGCGTAAGCACCTACTGGGACACTGCTTCCTGAGCTCCCTGCCTTCAGCGCTTGCAGAGCTGCGGACTCCCACCACACGGGTAGCTCACCCGAGTCCAGCAGGCTGCGCTTTGACTCTGAAAACAGCACAACAGGCGACTTCGAGTCTGTGCAAACCGCGAAGTCTGGGCTGGTTCGCCCTCAGTGCTTGAGAGCTATCTGTCAGTCGGAGTCGCTGCTGCTGCTGTCGCTATCACTGTCACTGTCACTGCCCATCACATCGCTGTCACTTGCGCTAGCCTCACAGCAAGCGTCGCATGTAACCAAAAAACAGTCGACGACATGAGTAGCGCGAGCAAAGTGTGCTTCAAACGTCACCTGCTTCTTTCCACGGCCGCGAGCCTAGGACAGTGACTGCGTCCTAAGAAACGAAGAGTCAAAGGCACGAGACCAGGCGCGAGTTCGTCGTTCGTCGATTTCTAAGGCCTGGCCTTGGCTTTTGCCTTCCCCTTCGCTTTGGCCTTCGCCTTGGCCTTCGGCTTTGTCTGCTTGGCCTTCTTGGGCTTCTTGGCTTTCTTTGCCTCCTTTTTGGCCTTGGGCTTCTTGAAGATAGCATTCTTGGCCTTCTCAAACCTGGGCGCCATCCACTCTGCAAAAGGGCACTTCAAGGGCAACCACCGACTCAGGGCAGCTGGGTTGCTTGATGTATGCTTCGGACTGTTTGTACTCCTTCATTTTGTCCTCGTATTCTGCCTGACATCTGTTCACTTTGTCAGGGCAGTGACGTTGCTGAGAAGCGCTGGCAGGAGAAGTTCCCGCAAAGCGCACGGGATCATCGACTGTAAGCGCGTTACCGACATGGGCATGCCTTGAGCTCGGCCTCACGCTGTTCGTAAGGCTTCCGATCTTCTTCGGAGTATTTTCCTTTGCTGCCGCCATGGCCCCCATGTCCCCGACAGCGACAGCTGTCACGTACCAGCTGCTACCATGCTGCCCCACATCTGGGACATCTCTTTGGCGACTTCTCCGACGGACTTGCCGGCAGATTGCAGCGTGGGCCTCTTTTCCTGCAGCAACTGCGAAGTGCATCTAAGTCCGTGACTCCGTGTATTGCGCGATGCTGCGAACTGAGAAGATCCGCAAAGTTTGGAGAAGACGATAAAAGTTAGCCGACAGCCTGGACGAAGAGCTGATAAGCACCTTGGTTGCTTTGCTGGGGCAGGTTGACTGCAATATATATATATATATATATATATATATATATATATATATATACTGTGACCGCGTGCATTGCGAGACAGCTCAGCAGGAGGACAGGAGCAAATACTGCAACATTCTCTGGGACATGCTCTGGCAAATGAATGCAAGACCGACTGCATTCAGCCAAGCCACCAGGAGCACTTGGAGGAGGCTTGGGGGCATCCTCCTTGCCCAAATACTTTGCTCGAGCACTGTCCACACCTCAACATCTGTCGATGATTCTATCACAGGTCTCGGAATTGCAAAGTTGCATCAATCACCTTCTATTCATGCTAACACCTCGCTTCAGATTGGCGACGCGCTTTCTTTGCTGCGGCTGCCTTGAGTCTGAGATACTTTTTGCCTTCAAGGCAAGACAAGTGGCAGTATCTGCCGAACAGGGTCTTCTGTAGACATACTTCTGGCAGCATGAACCCCTTACATCTCCGCTGATTCGCCTTCACCTGTTTTTCGAAATTCCAGCATGTCCTCCAGGCACAGCTAAAGCTGGACGGTGGTAAGACTCGGCCAGGGCCTACTCCAAGCTCCAGAAGGCAAGACATCTGTGCACCCTTCAAGCTCTCACACTGCTGCCTGACTGGCATGCCCGGTCCTTGTCGTACCTGAGTTTCGAGAATTTCCCGACTGGCTCAAGGCTCAAGAATACGGCGCGGCCGTTCACATCTGCATCGCGACCGAGCGTCTGCTCGGACAGCGATCTGGCCTCGTCTACGTACTCCTTCTGGCCCTGCACAATGCATCAGTTACTGACTCAGTGAGGTGAGTAGGCGAAGTTGTCCCCAGATATAAGGCTAGGGAAGGCAGCCGGTAGCCAACCTCAGCGCCAAGCGCAGACCAGGCTTCCGCTTGGGCCTTCAAACCCCCGCTACCTGCACCAAGAATCATTTCTCTTGAAAAAGGTCGGTCATGTAGCCGTTGAGAGCGAAGCCTTTGTTCTTGCTCATGAAGAGCTGCATCGCGGACTTCGGCTTTTTCGGCATGCTCTCTGGAACTTCAGGGCCCCTCTGATTCTTTTTCGCTCCTTTGCCTTTGCCCTTTCCCCTGCCGCTGCCTCAGGCTTCACCACATCATCTCGCAAGACAAATTCCGCGATGCCGGCACAGGCACTAGACTCACTAGACTCACTAGACTCTGGGTCACTAGGGATGAGCTCTCCCGTTCCGTCTCGCAGCCTGAATACAAGCAGGGACCGAATGCAGCCAAAGATCTTGACTTGCCAGAACGCTTTCCCTTGCCCTTGCCCTTGCCTACCACAGCAATAACAGACAGAGTCGAGAAAAGAAGACATCTCAGCACAAAGATAAGGGTTCTCGCGACTAGCGAAGCCCCTTCATGGATCACGGCTTGCCAACCATTTGCAGAAGCTGGCAGCGCAGAGTTGATTCTCGAATAGAAGTCAGAAGTCACAGTGTCCGGACGTCAGGACAGACTGCGTCGAGAAGCGAATCCTTCTTCTTGGTCTTGAGCGTTGCCTCCGCCGGGTTTCTTCTTGGAGAGCTTCCGGACTTGCGATGCATACTTCTTGAAGTTCTCGGTCTCCCTGAACTCTTTCAACGATTCCTTCTAACCGTGAACACAGGTGCTTGTCACAGGTTCACTCTGGGTTTGCAGACTTGCAAAGGCGGCGTCCTCGTATGCACTCATGAGGTTGTCGGCCTTGTCCTGATAAACCTTTCTTTCCTCCTCTGGGCAAGATTTCCTTGGGTAAGTGCCGTGCTGCCCGTGCAGTGCTACTGCCGCCTTTTTGTGAGAGCTCCAAGCCGAGCCACCATGCCTCGCGAACTTCGTTCTTGAGATCTGGACCCTTTAGATCAGGCTTGGCCTGCAAAGCCAGAAATCAAAAACCTGCAGCAGGATGCCAGTCTCACTCGGCCGGTCCTTCTTCAGGTCTTTCAGCTTCTCCTGGAGAAAGAGCTGAATTGCACCTTTCGGCTTCTTCGGCATACCCTCCAAGTACTTGTCTTTCGCCTGAGCAATCCTGAGTAGCATGGCAACTTTAAGAGCTTTCCTTGTCGGCGATCCGAAAGCTAGCGCTGACGAAGCTCGCATTGCTTTTCCGGACCTGCGCGAGCCTTTTGAAGTACTCCTTGCCCTCGTCACTGCCTTCAAAAGCCTGACAAGCACCGGTGGCTCATGGGCCCGACCCAGGAATTCATCAGCAGACAGCATCCGACTCTTCATCCCACAGTCTTACCATGTCTTACACTGCAACTCCCGGACCATGACTTCAAGCTCTGACAACAGTAAAGGCCTGCCATCCTCCAGTCTTTGTGTCCGTGTGTCACCATGTCCCGGAGTACTCGTGGCGGTGCAGCCAACTTTGATGCATGAGTTTCTGGCAACAGATCGTCCTCAGTAGATTTGTTCTTAGCCGCCCAGACCTGTATGTCAAAGGTACGACTCTATGACATCATCTGACTCTATGACATCATCTCGTTCCCAGTGGGCGAATTGAAACTAGTCAACGGAAAGCAGAATAGGCATCAAGAATGCCCAAAGCAAAAACCAGGCAGCAGCCAAGCAAAATGCAAGAGCCGAAAGAAGAAATCATGTGTGAAGGTATACAGTAGTGAGTATATAGTATCATGCAGTGTCCTGCGACACTGCCTCCGCGCTCGAGCCTTAAACAAGTCGCTCCAACACGGCCGAGCCTGAACGTCCTCGCGATACTGGGCGGCCAAGTCTTGCTGTTTTCCCTCGTAGACTTTGCGCTCCTGCTATGAATTTGCATAAAACAAGATGCACTGAAATCTGTCAGTCCCTGCTCCACCCATCCTCCTCCGACAAAGCTCCCCACATCTCCAGCAACTTTGATGGGTCCTCCACTTCTTTCCTGCAGAGACAGAACGGCCTAGGACATGAGTCCTACGAAGCCAGCTTAAGCGTTGCTTCCCATCAGCTCTGCCCCACACTTCCCCGGCACAGGCCTTTTCTCAGAGCAGAAAATTCTCTGTGCGGTTGGTGGCTTGGCTGGGAAGTTGTAGGGCTTCTCGGGCGGTCGTTGAATCTTCATGCCGTTTTTCAGCTTTTTAATCCTGAGCTTGCAAAGCCACGGTGGGTTGACTCGTTTTGACAGGCTTTATGAGCACAGCAACTCGTGAAGTGAAAACTGGCCAGGCAGCGCCAGCTTCTTGTTCGGCAAAAAACTCTTCACGGGGACCTTCAGCATCTTCGCCTCCTCGATGTAGTCCTGGCGAAGTCCGGCTGCCGGTAGATATGCGGATTTCATTCTCCACTCTAATTTCAACAAATCAATACCGTGCTCTCAAGTCTAACACTTGCAGTTGGCCTTCCATTCCTGCTTCTCCATGTATGCCTTGACCTGCTCTTTCCATTCGTTGAAGCGGTCCTTTCTCTTTTCATCATAAACGTTTTTTGCTTCCTGACACAGCTCTCAAATCGAGACATGTTCGGTCCACAAGCTGGCAACTCCATCCTTGTCAAGCTTGGCCCATTCCTCCTTGAGTTTTGCCACCTACACGCAGCTTCAAGCATCTGACTCTAACTTCTGTGTGAAAATTGCCTTAAACTGCACCGAAACTAGGATACCAACATAACCCCTTGTCAGCTACCACGGCCTCCGCTTTGGCTTCTTCACGCGTCCTCTTCTTTGGAGGCGCTCCGTTGGATTCTTCAGACATACGCCTGCCGGGGTTCCTGTGGTGGCCTGTGCCTCTCTCTCTCAGACAAACTCAAACCAAAAAGAGGCCGACTTCATTCCGCCTCTTCTCGCCGACGAAGATGGCAAAGGGATTCTTTGGCGGCTCCGGAGGTGCGTCACGCAGGAACTTCAAAGTCATGACCTCGAAGTGCCCTCTACCATCTACATGCCGCAAGGTCGACCATTCCATCGGCAACCCTACATCTGACGGTCTGACCTTCATGGCTTCTGTCATCATTTCCCTCTTGATCTTGCCCGTCGTCTTCTCAAACTCCTCACACTTGCAAGGCAACGCTAAGCAAGACACTAAAGTGCCAAGCTCCGCAACTAGCAGAAGGGCAGGCCGCTGCACGAGTAAGCAAGTCTGAAACTCTCCGAAACGAAAGCCTTCTGCCGCTGGCCTTGTACTGCTCGCCCTCTTTGTAAGTTTTGACTTCTTCGTTGTACTTTTGCTTCAAGTCTGCCTCCTGCTCCATGTACTTTTTCTTCCTGCCGCCAGGAAGCATTTCCTGTACTCCCAACATCTAAGTGCAACGCAGCCAAGCTGCGCGGTTTCATCGATTTCAGCAAACTTGGTCTTGACGAAGTTCATCCCCTTTCCTTGGGTCCCGCGACCAGCATCCCAATCCATTATATGTCGATGCACTCGTTTCAATCCTGCGGCTGTGGGGCCCTCTCCTTTCCCAGCGGGCACCTCGTCCTTGATATCATCCCTGAAGAGGGCGTACACCTCATCCAAGGATGCCCCACTTGACACCACTCTCTTCACGAAAAGATGCTTTGGCACCCAGCACTACCTCACAGACTAAGGTTACCTCCACATCGTACCATCGTACTACCCACCGAACAGCCAGGCCCATGTTGCAGTCGATCTGTGATCAGAAAGCGGGATAGCACAGAAACATCTTAGGACGTGCTCACATTGCAGCAGATTGACGCTTTTCGGCTTCTTCGGCATTTCGTTCAGATTCACCCTGCGGTTTTCCTCGGCCATACAAAGCGTCGCTTCAGCCGATGCACGTGAAAGCTATGCAATCCTGCAATGCTTCCGGCACAGGATCTGGGTGACTGTTACGCATGCCATACATGCGTCAGAGTAAGCCCTAGTACTTAGAGCTCAGTGGCAAGCAGGACAGTCCTGAGTAAGCCCTAGTACTTAGAGCTCAGCGGCAAGCAGGACAGTCCTGACTAGTTCCGAAGGTTTTGCATGGCGGGCCGAGGTTTTGTGGCAAGAAATGGGGAAAGCCAACTGTTGCCGAAGCCGTTTGTGCAAACATGCGATGTAAGCAGATGACATACTCTTTGATCCGTTTTGGCAAGATGCTCTTGTTCTCACAGCCACGCGCTTCTGGAGAAACTGCACATACACCTC